GAGCCCGATGCGGGACTCGATCCCGGGACTCCAGGATCATGACCTGAGCCGAAGGCAGTCGCTTAACCAACTGAGCCACCCAGGTGCCCTACATGAAATTCTTAACATGGTGCCTGGCATATTCAAGATATTATGTACTTAAATTACTTATTTTCATAATGCAGAATTATGACATAAATTTTCCCTGATATCCCTGATCACATTGGTGTCAGATCCTGCCTCTTTTTGATATGCCTTCTTGGCTTCCACTGCCTTCAGCCTCGCTCTGGTTGTCCAGAATGTCTTCCAGGCCTTGACCCTTTTAAATAGTTCTTCCTCCAATTAAAATGAACCAAAAATCATAATACTTAAGGTGTTGGCTAAAGATTTTGCTCACTGAAACTATTCAAAATAACTGTGTTTGTGGGTATGTGTATTAATACCAGCCAGGCACCCCTGAACATGACATAATTAACCAACCCCTACTATTTCCAATTTTGCAATGTTATAAACAAAGCAGTGAGGAATATACTTATAACTAAATCTTTTTGCATATCTATGATTTTTTGGATAATTCTACAAACTCTTAAGATAATCTTAAAAGAAAAATTACTTTCTCGAAATGTGAACATTTTATATATACATATCGCCTTATTGCATTTACATTTTTTTCTCTTAATTGGATATGCAAACAGCATCCCATTTTAATTTTCATTTCTTTGTTTAGAAAAAAGTTAAACATTTTTAAATGTATTTATTGGCCATTGTGTTATTTTTGTTTATTCCCATCCTTTGCCCATTTTTCCTGGGAGTGATTATTGTCTTACTGCTTTTCATCATAAGCTCAGCTCTGCCATTTGATTTGTTACATGTGAATAAATTAAAACCTCATTTAAGTATAATGCTAATGCTTATTTTTATGTTTTTATATATCATGATCTGTTAAGCTTTGCCTTATGTTTTCCACCTTTGGTGAAATGTTTTCAAAGTCTTCTCAAGATTTTATAAATATTCACAAACATTTTATGATCATTTTATGACTTCATTTTTTCAAATATTATAATCTTTAATTTACATGCAATGTATTTTGATGTTGGTGCAAAGTAGGAATATAATCTTGTGTTTTGTTATCCCTAAATGATTAGCCAGTCATCTCAAAG